TGTAGGGAAGGCTGCACATCACTGATGATAACGTTACTGTCAGTTTTTTGTGGAAGAGCTCAGTCCGCACAGAGAGCATCAATTAGCTCTACCTCCAGTTGCATTCACATGTTGGTCATCGAAACATTTCTGTTTGAGCAGATTAAAACCATACCAAAATTATAATTATGCAGCTGAAGTGTACTGGTCTATTGTAAAAAACTCACTGTCTGCAATCATGATTTCTGCTGCTTTCTTCACAAAGTACATGCACAAGGAATTATCCCTATCACATATATTGAATTCTTCCTATGGAATCTGGTCAAAAAAAGATGTTAATAAGATTTCTGAGGTACATTTTTTCCCAAACAGCACTTCAAACATGTTGTGGCCTTGGACACTGGCTGTGTTTGCCAGTGATGAATGTAGTATTGCCTGAAGCACGCTGTAGTTTCTGAAAGCGAGTATAACCAAATTTAATACTAAAGTCTGGAAAAAATTACTACCCTTCATAAATAAACTGTATATCTTTTCAGTTGCATTCTGAAATGAAAATACTGAAATAAGTGTCACCTTATTTCAAATTGATTGATACCAAAAACTTACCTTCAGTGCTATCTCCTTAAGAGACTCCCTGCTCCGCTTCTTATACGGGGCCTTGGTATGTTCCAGGGAAATAGCCACACTTTTAAGTGTTCACAGCCTAATAGCAGCCTTACTTGTAGAGAAATTAATTTGGTAATGGGATCCTAGCTTTAAAGTAATAGTACCCTAATGGAAACAGCAAAATAAGAGTATACATTTTCAAGAAAAAAAATATGAACTTCCAGTGTTGCATTTTTATTTATATGCATTCAATAATATACAAGTTCTTCCATATGAATATAAACATAGCAACTTAGAAACTTCCGTGCCAGATCTGACCAGTACTCAATTTCACAGCATTCAAAAGAAGATGCAAAAAACCTCACAGTAGGCAATGATAGGGATGACCTGCTCCCAGGAGAAAGTTTCTGCTTAATCCCCATCAATATGATGTTCGGCTGATTTCACAAAGCATGAGGACTTATATCCCTTAAAACATTAATACACATTTTATGAAACAATCTGTACTTGTTACTTAGTCCTGTATATTAATATTTACAATATATTACAAGAATTACAGTCTCTAATGCCTTTATGGCAGGTACTAGCTTTTAGGCCATAAAAATTAGACTTTGTATCTTTCCCCTGTTGTGGGACCAACAGCCATGGACCTTGTCCCTTGTCACAGTAATAGTGCACTTTGAGACACTTGGATTTAAATAGCAGTTAGCAGTGCACACTCGCACTCCATTTGACTATTTAAGTTTACACAGTTCTGGTTAAACAAAATCGTTCAGTTTATGACCTGTCTTCACCCTCAGCCCTGATTTCAGGTTTCCGAGAAGGCTGATCCCAACTTGGCTGGCAAAGCTTTTGTTCATTCCACAACAGCCCATTTTACTTCAGTTTATTACAAAAGCTGGGGAAAAAAAAATACTTCCAAAATCACAAGTCTTTTATAATGAAATAGAAAAAATATATATAGTAATTGATAGATAATGGCTAACATCATTAACATTTTCTTGTTATTTTGAGGGATATGACTGAAACACCCCAAAAAAGGAAGGACAAGCCATTATATGTAACAGTAACAGGACCTGAGGGAAGTGCAGTGCTCCCACTGCTTTAGAATAAGAACTGAGCATATCCATTCCCAAGATTTACGGAGAAAGAAGGATTGTCAGCCACTGTCTTCCTGGTATACTGGGAAAAGTAGGCTGTTAGCTTATCTAGAAGATTTTTATATAAAGGAAATCGATAGCTTATCAGGGAAAGATCTATAAAGTAAGTAATACCCAGGAGAGCTTGGAGTTCCTATCAAAGTTTGAATAAAACCAGGTAAATTTTGCCACCTATCAGTGTGAAAAGTCACCACAGCACCATTAAACAGTTCAGAAAGTTAAAAAGTGAGATTGAAAAAAAAAATCAGAACCGGGCCAATTCTGATTTCATTAACTTCTATCACAAAATCTTCCTTGATTTTGAAAAAGGCTGATGATCAGTACTTTCAGACAAATTAAATATATTCCTTCCTAACATTTAAAACTAACTCACTACCAATGCATCTTCTTTTTTTTTTTCCACTATCATCTTAATTTTCTAGAATTTCTGATAGAAAAAACAAGAAACAAATGGAAGTTTGAAAATGAAACTAAAAATCTTCCCTGGAAACAAAGCAAAACAATTCTCTTCCATTGTGGTGGGGCACTGATTTGTAAGGCAAAAGATATTTCCTGAACTCCGAGCTGTCTACAGTCATTCATATATATTTCCAAGGAAAAAAAGTCATTAGCTTTTGACAAAAGCATATAAATTATTATATAATACAGTATCTTGCAAAATGAGCATGAAAAGAACAGATATAACAGGTTATGTTCCTGACTAATAAATCTAGACCGTGTCCCTTAAAAAAATGCACCTTATGTGCATTAATCTTATCCTATTAGCAGCATCTTGAGATGTACATTTTTAAGAATCATTCTTTAGTAACAATGTAACAAATACACATGGAAATTTAATTATTTAACAAAAATATCCCCATGTACTAGCTTCCCTCTAAGTTTGCAGAAGCTCACTAATGCAAACTATTTAGTTTTCTGCTAAGGGTAAAGTAGGCTCAATAATTATTTCATCTGGAAGTGTTTTCTATCTATCTAGACAACTTAAGACATGTAGACTTTAGTATATAACACTAAAATAATAAAGACAAATGCCCTGCATTCTCAAACGGTTATTGTAATTGAGAACTAACTATCCAGTGACTGACAAGCACATTTAAAACATATGTAAATTAAACCAGGCAACCAGTGCTTGATGAGCACTTAAAGGGCAAGTCTGTCAGTGCACAAAGTTTGTAGAACTTAAAATAGGAAACTGTTCTTCCTACGATGAATGTTTCATAGAATTGTCATGGTTCACTCTCGCCCTTCCCACTTTCACAAACTTATCTACCAGGACTAACAAACACTTACACATGCATCTCAAGTGCTTATTTTAGCTATGCTTCCACCCTGATGTGCTGGCAGCTGTTTTGGGGTGAGAACCCGGCAGGCACCATTAGCTTAGCGCTGGCTGTGCATAACCCTAGTGGAATGTGGAGAATGAAATCTCATTTTTCTGGAGTCGTTACAGTACAGGTCTGACAGCCAGGTAAAGTCCAGCGCTGCAAACAGGACACTGTTACTGTGGTAACACAAAGTAAACTTTTAACCTCTGCAGCACTCTTAAATTCTAGTTGTTGTTACTCCTTTGACTTCAGGGCAGCTATCACAGATCTAGCTGTTTGATTTTATTTTCTTGTGTTTTATAATATTTTCAAATAAATACTTTGGTGTAAGACAGATTTTAGTAAGTAATGGCTGACTGGGGTAACATCTGAGGCATAGCCAGCAAATTCCGCAAGCTATTTGCAAAGGATCGCTTCACTACACTGCTGATCCAAAGTACTTTTAGTCAGCTTTTAAAACATACTTAGCTTGTGCATTTCAAATGAAGCGTTACTATTTTATTGATGATATTGAGTAAGTTGCTGTCTATACTTGGGGACTTACCCCATCCAGACCTTTTTCCGGCATAGTTTTGCCTGTGTCCTAGCATGCCTTCTTGCTTGCAATGCAGAGAGCCCAGTGCTATTCCAGACCCATGCTAGGGAAGTGCAACCTTACATTGCCTGAGATGCAATTTGCTAATGCAATTCTGTAAGCTCATTACTTGCACTGCAAAAAATTGAAGGCGTTAGATCGCAGGCTTCCAAAGGCTGAAATAAAACCCACTCTGGCAGCATCAGAGACACGCTGCAAACCAAGTTAAGGAATTTGTGTAAATGTAAATTCTACTCTTCTGGAGCAATGTAATATCCATACAAAATCCTCTCTAATTCTGGACTACCTGTTTCTTGGAACTGTGCTCCTGTGCCTTCCCACCGGCTGAGCAAGCTATGTGGCCGAGTAGACTAGATGGATACAAGGTACTCTAATTTGGCTTGGACGCTCTTAGAGAAACAGAGGCTTGGCAGGGATTTAGCTTACCGCATGTTTGCCAGGTATGCCAGATAAGCTGCCACATGAGTCCTCACCAGCCAGGCAAATAACGTCTAATGATGTCAGGCTGAGCCATGTTTAAACAGCCCTGGAAAGACTGCCTTTGAACAACCAGGTGGAGCCTGCTTGCTTGCCTGCAAGGAAACGCCTGACCCAGGGGTCATTGCCACTTCATTCCCACTTTCTCCTCCCATCACTGCTGACAAATGCATCGCTGGAAACAGACGGATGCGCAATGCAAACCTTCTGTCACATCCCCGCATGACATCCGGGGGCGGGGATCTGCAGCTGAATGTTACTGTCTATTGTAGCTGCTGCCATGCTTTTCCGGGAGCGTTCGTTTCCTGTTGTCCCACTGTGGCAGTTCCCAGACTCCGCTTCTTGTTGTGCTCTTGGGCTTTCCTGTGCTTCTGACAAAGACTGAGGCTGCCTGGGGGCAGGAGAGAGGGAAGGAGGCAAGAAGAAAATGCTAAACTTGGACAAAGTAGTCATGAGCCAGAAGAGGGAACAGTTTCTTCCTGTGCCTGGTGTTGTTCAACTTCCAAGTCAGGAGTCCTAAAGAAAAAGAAAAAAAGCATCATTTATTATTTATCACATCAGATAGGTATAAGGAGATACTCTTAAACTTTTATTCAGTGGCTTATGGTTAATGCCAACATAATCAATTCCCTTCCCATGAGATTTCCACTTGAATAATGAACAACTGAAGGGTTTTGAAACTCAAGACTGAATATTCTTGATTCAAATAAGGAAGGAGGATGTACAGTGGCTTCTTAGAGCCAAACAGGATTAACAGTGAGAGGGGCCAATCAAATTGAACTCTAGAGGTGGATTTAGGCAATATCATGCAGTGAAACAATAATGCCCATCTCACTGAGGACTTTTGTTTTTTGAAGCTCACAACCCACGCTTAGACTTTGCACGAATCGCTCCGATGAAACAAACGTGTTAGGGAACTTGATGCTTCAAGCAGCTGTTTTATTTACCTAGTGCCCCATCAGGCCCAGAAGAATTCATGAAAAATTAAGCTGAGAGCATAAAACATTAATAGAATGATCACTAGCTCATAAAAACCCTGCAGTTTTGAAAACGTGTTTTACGTGCAATGAATTTTGCATTTGAGAAAACAGGTTTCTGCTTCTTTTTACAAAAAAGAAGTGCCAGAATTTTCAAGTCTCTCTGTAAATTGAGGTACCTTGAAGACTATGGCTGAAGACCTCCAAAAAGACTACATCGCCTTGCATGCAGTAGCTTTCCTCGTACTAGGGCCTTAGCATACATGAGTCCATTGTCAATTAATAGCAAGTAAGCAAATCAGATGAGCCAAATATGTGAATGTAATAAAACCATTTAGATATCCAACTTGATGGCCCATTGTCAGAGAAACTAGCACTAAAATTAAAAATTAGTATTTGCATATATAAGAAACATAAATATCAGAACTACAGAATCCATATGGAGATTGCAGGGTGATAATCACTCTCAGCTTAAATTCTGCATTGTAACTGTAATATATAACTAGTGGTAACTCTTGATCACTCTTGCCCTTTATTCTGGGCATTGTGCACTGGTATTTTTAGCTGACCTTTCTTAACCTCATCTGGTTCTGCAGCGTAATGGGTAAGTACTTTCTCAGTTTTCAGAAATTAAGCTGGAAATAATGACAGCTCTATTACTGACAATGTATCTGCTGAGAGTCAGCCCTGAGATGTTTAAAATTAGCGTTATAATGTGAACTTTAAGGATGAACGTTTCCTAGACTGCCAAAAATATTATTACCAAAGAACATTACTGCCAGTGTAAAGCACTCCCTCATGTTCCATTGTGACTATAATTTAAATTTAAATGGTAGATTGCACCATTTCTAGGAGAATGGAACAACTAAGGGAAAAGCAACTCTTGAATATGTGTTTCTAGATGTTAAAATTATTGCAGAATGACCATACCTGTCACTTGAATACAGCTGGTACTTACTTCATGGAAGTGTTTTCACCACTCTGTTAGGCTACGCGCTAGGAACAGCACCCTTTCTGAACTGCCATTTTATCTTAGACATTCACCCCAAAAACGACACTGACTAAGCAGATGTGAAGTTATATCAGCCAGAATTTTGACTGTCCTAAAACAGCAACCACAAACTGCTTCAGCTTGGTTCCTGCCCATCTGATCTTTTCCTGCTCCCCCAATGGGCAATGAAAGGCCCTCTTCCTATTTTTTGGGTTTGCTCTTGGGCTTACCAGCAGAGGGGACATTGGTGGACCCAGCCAAGTATACCCTGACTCTTTTTGGCTCTGGATTCAGGCCAGGCAGTAAAGGCCAGGCAGCGGCTGATGTGCCTCTGCAGCATAAGCTGCACGGCTGCCATGGGGCTCAGCCCTGGGAAAAGCCCCCCTGGCCCTGCGGGAAGGCCCTTTCTGCCCTTGGCCTCTTCAGGCTCCAGATGTCTTGGGGTTGTCACCGTGATCTCTTGTCTCAGCTGCAGTGCTGGACACCCTGAGCACCCCACAAAAACCAGGGAGAGGGCCCAAACCTGCCCTCCTGCGGGGGCTCCAGGTGGACCCGTGGTGACGACAGCGGCTCTCGCGCAGGAACGCCACGCACGGGCAGGGACCTTCAGGAGCCAGCACGTTTTTATTTTGTCTTTCTTTGCAAAAGAAGGCTCCTGCTTACAGTAGCAGAAAGCAAGCGCTGCCTTCCACGCGCAGCGTTTTGTCAGGCCGACAGCTGCAGGAAGCTTTGCAAACCACCGCCTGCATCACTTTGTTTTGTGTATCTCCCTGTCCTTTTATCACAGAAGGATGAGCAAGGAGAAGTGATCAGCTCAGGAGAGCCCTTTCTTCTCCCTAACTTAATTTGGGGAAGGATCTGTCGCATAACAACACTTCTTTAAGTTGTGAGCCTGATACCTGACAACTGCTTTTATCTCCAATGGCTTGAAATGTTTGTGTGAAAATGTCTCTGTCTCCTTTCCTCCTCCCTCTGCTCCCAGGAAGAAAATAGCCTTTCTTGAGAAACATCTAGATGTTAAAAGTGATGCAAATTTCATGTAATTAAAAATAATTTCAAATAAGTAAATGGATGTTACCTTATATAGATTACAGGAATCAGGAATGACAGCCCCATGTCCACGTAAGCAAGAGACTCAAGCATTACATTTCTCCACACTCATAAGGCCCAAATTCACTATCAACAACTGTTATGTGTACTAAATGATGTTCTTTTAATACACAGATTATGAACTGCCAGAAAATATACATGTAATCTTTCATATCAAGATCTAGTCATGCAACCTTTAAATACCACATGTTAAGCATGGCACTTATCTTAAGAGCTTCATGTATTGGGAATACTAGAATATAGCTCTTTTCAGTAGATCAGGTACAAAGGAAGCACTAGCATAGTTCTTATTAAAACCAGCAAATCAGCTTTTTCCTGGGCTAAATTTGGCCTATTTCTTTATGTGGAGTAATTGATCTCCAAACCTCGATGTCAAACGTCTGTATTATCTTTAGTTTAAAACAGTACAGTGTCTCTGCATACAGGGCACACCACACAACTGATTTCCAGCCACCAGCGCCAAGCCACACAGCAAAACCCACGAAACTTCTCCCGCTTCAGAAGAGCAAGATCCACTAGAGCCAAGCAGGACAGAAAATTTAGAGCCTGTGAAATGCTGGGTGGTCAGCCGCAGCAAACTTTGAGGGTCCCAAACAAAAGCTGTGGGGAGAACTGTTTGCTAGTGACGCTGACTCAGCTTCGCTTTCCTGATCGTTCGGTGTACCTCTGCATAAGCAGTAGCGGGGAACAGACAGCAAGAGTGAGGAGGGGGAAGCTGTGACAGTATAGTGTAAATACAGTGTACTCCTAAATATTAATAGTTTCAGTTCAGTCTGTTTTATCTAAGCTACCGTAATTAAGGGTTGAATAATTTTCTACGGTTTTTCTCACACTTTTAGAGCAGACACTGGAGAAAACAAGCTATTTACAAAGCAAGACTCGGCAAAGGGGCAGACGTCCCTCTGAGACGACCCTGACTCGTTTCATGTGGGGGGGGGAAGGGGGGGGGGGCTGATCGAAACCTGGCAAGCTGCACTCGGCTTTTGCTCTGTTGGTTTTGTTTTTTGGGGGAGCTGATCGAAACCTGGCAAGCTGCACTCGGCTTTTGCTCTGTTGGTTTTGTTTTTTTGGCTTTTTGCCCCAGATTCCTGCTTTGCAAAAATGCCATAGTGGGACAAGCACTATACAGAACACAGCTTCCTGCTGCCCTTCCTAAAAGGATAAAATAAACCAAGAAAAATCAAGTGCTCATTAAGAGAAAACAGACATATATAAATTGACCGGGCGAGACTTTACACACACCTTGAGTTTACCAGGCTGCAACGCACGCTGAAGGGAGAAGCCGTCATGCCAGCTCCTGGAGCACCGCGTTAGCCTCCTTGGCTTTCTTACAGGTGTACAGCCATTTGATTATCCGCGCGTTGCGCTCGATGACGGAGGTGCTGCTGGGGACCTGCTCCGTCAGCTCGTCCTCCAGCAGGCCGTCGTCCCCGCTGTGCCTCGTGAAGTCGCTTTCGGATGTGGCCACGCTAATGCTGCGAACCTTGAAGGAGACGTTGTCGGAAACCACGGAGAAGTTCTCCCTGCCGAGATCCTCGATGACCTCCGCGTCGAGGCCGCAGTACTTGAAGAAGGTATCGAACTCGGAGAAGGACTTGGAGTAGCGGGAGCTGATGTCCGACTGGGAGCGATGGAGGCCTCTCCGCTTCACCTCCTTGGCCTCCTCCGGAGCCGGGGGCAGTTTTGAGGGTCTCTCGCGCTCCCGTGTGCGTTCGCCTGGGGCTTCTGCGGTCACAGGGACGGTTTGCTCCGCTCCGTGGTTGCTCGGCTCGCAGTCACCGTGTCTTGCAGAGGCGGGCTCTTTGCTCTCTGTGCCTGTGGCGACCTCCATGATTACCCTGGGCATCTCGGGGGAGGCTAATTGCTTGTCCTTTAGGGGCCCTTGGAACAGCCTCCTCACCAAGCTGCCTCGCGGGCTGTCCTGGCTTTGACCCCGCACAAACTCACATTTCTGGCGGTAAATCACGAGGGA